GTTACCCTAGCACCTTGTACAATACATAAGCAAGAGAGGCACACGAAAATAGAGGTTGGAGGCTGCAAGCATAGACAGAACAAAACTTGAAAAAAGTGACAAAAAGTGTGAAATCAAAATCATACTTAGAGGCAATATCAGAAGCTTAGATTGGTCCCAATCGATTCCTGGGTGATCACACAACCTTCCTGGATCAAAAGCACGCGTCCTCAGGCCTTCAAAAGCACTGTAAGTATCACGATACCAAGCTCTGTTCTTGAAACCGTAAATCTTCATTCTTGCATCATTTGAACAAATTCTTGGCATATTTATAATCCTTATAACATTTCTAAGCTTTTGGAAATATTCAATTTTGTTTATCTAACCTTTAACGTAGAATCACCATTGTTAGGGTTTTGCATCTTGGTTTGGGGTTTTTCGTTTCAGATAAAATTAGCCTTAATAATGGCTATAGACGTGACCAGAAGAGGGAGACGAACTCAACCATGGGTTCAGGATGCATTTCCATGGCGCCTATAGGATTTTAGAGATGCCTGACTTATAGCTACGGACTTCTGTCCGTTGGTATAGGTCTGATTGTTTTAGCCACGGTCCAACGACAGGGACAATGGCGTGTCGCTTCCTTATTCGCCTGTTCAAATAGCGCGCGCATTTTCTTGTTTTTCTGGCATATAAGTTATTTTCTTTTATTATATTATTTTGGTATATTACTAACAAATAAAGCAAAGCGTCCCAGTGGCAAGCATGCGTTGGCAATCACCTACAGGACCTGGGTTCGAATCCCAGGTCCCCCACTCTCTTTGTTATTTTGTTTCTTCAGGTATTCCAATGCGCATGAGGAGCAGCAGTGCATCATACACCATCATTTATCCAATGGACAGATGACCCAAGGCCAAATTTGATGGCCAAGAATTGATGGACCACCATAGACCAAGTCAGCATGCGCGCATGGAATCAAAAAAGTTAACAAGGCCAGATCCAATTGGGCCTTTAGCTTGCTATTCAGACACCCTTTTCAGGCCCAAACCTCTCTCTCTTCTTATTTTACTTATTTTGTTTATTAATTGTTTTAATTATTTTTGTTTTAATTATAACCAATCAAAAAAAATTCTTTTCTTTATAAAATGAAACCCCAAAAATATTTTTTTTATCACATTAAATTTTTATTTTTATTTTATTAATAAATATTAATTTAATTAATTTAAGCTTTAATTAGAAATAACTTTAATATATTTTTGTAAATAATTAAAATTAACTAGACATAATTAGGTTTTTACTAACATTCAATTAATTTTATTTTCTTTCTTAAAATACAAAAACCCAAAAATAATTTATTTTTATTAATTAATTTATTTTAATTTAATTTAATAATTAGTTTAGGTTAGTTTCTTTCTTAATTAAAAAAAACAACAAAAAATGTCTTCTTTCTCTCAAAAAGGGTCAAAACCCTAATCTTGCACTCGATTTAATTTCCCGCGCGCGATTTATGTATTTTATCCAATATTGTACTTGCTCCCGGTTTGTAATAGTAAATAGGACCTTTATTTATTTTTTATCGCTTTATTTATTTTTAAAGGGTTTGTCTTTGACGATGTAAATACCCGACGTCTTGTAATTTAATTTCCGCATTTTTATTTTCCGCAAAATATAACTGTTAGATGTTTGATAATAGGAATGCATAACAAGACTGAATGTTTTAACCTAAAATCAATTTAGATCACTCTTAACATGTACAAAGATAAAATTAACTGAAAACGACACACTCGCACATGCGCACTCTTAGGATACACCCCCACTTGGTTGCTTTTGTACACGGTCATTAAGTATAGGTCACTTTAGAGGTTGCCCTCTTGTCTAAAAGATCACAGTCGCCTCGAAATGGTTACCTCGGATATTTCTGCCTCAAAACAAATGATCTAAGACATTAGGGTTACCGCTAAGGCGTCCTAACATTGCTTTGGTGACCGTAAGTCCCGCATTCGAATTGACCCTTAAACTCCAACGACGGTGCTACCTACTCGTCAATAGTAGGATAGCATTGTCTAAAGGACATTAGCATAGAACGATTCCTTTTTCGAGTAGGTAGATGGTTCTTAGATACTTGCTCTTTCAAAAAAACAAAAATCTTTTTCACACTTACACTCCTTTTCGAACAAAGTTTTCAAAAACACTTCATACGCTCTTGAGGACAGAAGCAAGAGTTAAATCAAAGTTTTCAAACAAAAAACTTTTTCAAACCCACAAGCACAAAGAAAACAATTTTGAAAACAATATGAGCAAGTACCTAAGAGTCTGTGGATAACCACTGATAGAAAGGGTGCTAACACCTTCCCTTTCTATAATCTACCCCCCGAACCCGAGAAATATCTCGAAAAAGGAATTTTTCTGTGCTTTTTTACTTTCCTTGTTGGATAAAATAAAAGTCGGTGGCGACTCTTGCTTACCGCGACATTTTGCGAAAACAAAACGCAAAATGCAAACCAGTATTCCAAAAAACAGTCAGTTCTTCCCACCGTATCACACTGGTTATATGTTTATGCTAGGTGGGCATCAGTTTCTTAGAGTTTAATTAAAGAACCACTAGTAGCACTATCGCCGTGTGAAGCAGAATACATAGTTGTTTCTCTTTGTGCATGTCAAGCAATGTGGATAGTGAATTTGGTCGAAGAGATTACAACAAAGGATCATGGAGTAATTACCTTGAAGCTCGACAGCATGTCAGCTATCAATCTGGAAAAGAATATGGTAGAACATGGACGAAGCAAGCACATCAAAATGAGGTTCCATTATCTTCGAGAGCAGGTAGCAAAAGTGAAGCTGAACTTGGAACATTGCAAAACTGAGAATCAGATTGAAGATATCCTGACAAATAGTGTGCATGTCAAAGGGTTCAAGAGACTAAGAGCAATGATGAATGTAGATAGTTTAAATACAATGAATTAGGTGGTCTGTTGATAATGTAATTCATGACGTCGAAGCACTTTGCTTTTGAAATACTTAGTGTTGTTGAAACGTCGTAGTAGTGTACCTCAACATGAATTTTGACTTAGGCTTATATTGTTTATTTTAGCATAATTAGGTTATTTGGGTTTTGCTTAAGGATCAAGTAAACTCAACCTATAAATATGGAGTTACCCTATTGTTGTAAAGTAGTGATTAACTTGCAAATGCAAAGAATAAAATTCCAGTTTGAAAGGAGACACAAACTCTACAGAAATTCTTTTCTTCTTCCTCTATTTTCGTTAAGACCCCAATTCACCTTTCTTACCTAATTCATCTTTTCTTTTCTCCTACCATAATCAGTGTATTATACAGTTTTGTGTCACCTGTCAATGGAAAATCTAACAAAATACATTTTTTTTAACTTTTGGGATTCAAACCCACCCCCTTAGTTTAAACACTTCTTCCTTTACCACTCGTCCATCAACATCTTTTGTTCTATAATTGCACAAAAATTATAATATATGAAAATTGCAACCGTCTCATAAGTAGCTTCCACATATTTAACAATTGTCTCATAAATAGTTGCACCAACATGCAACTGTCTCATAAGTAGCTTCCGTATATTTTGTTTCCATGGTGACATATTCATCTTTCATCTTCATGGTGGTGGAAGTGTTATTTTCTGAACTCATATGCCACATTTTTTGTTGAGTGTAAGTAAGCAAGCTACCATCAATCAATGTATAGGGGTTAGTTAATGGTCACCAATATTTATATAAAAATTAATGAAATATTTTGAAGGGTATCAAAAGACGTCGATGAAACTATAATGGAAGATGATGGTGAAAATTGTGAGAGAAATAGTGAATAATAAAGTTACAGAATAAAACTATTAAAGATGATTATGGTTTGAAATGATGGAGCACTAAATAAACATACATGAATACCTCATAAACAAACATATGTGTTCTCATCGATCCAGAAAAAAAGTATGGATTTGTATGAAGATTGGACATGAAGATATGAACACAAATCCAAAATTAGAGACTGAAACAAAAAAAAAGGTTATAAGGGACGAAAAGACTATTTAATCTAAAATTTTGGGTTTACCCTAACCTTTTTTTAAACCCATAATTTTTTCAAACTCAAAATTATTTCTTGTTTTTCCTTTTCTTATAGATGTCCAGATTGTTTGTTTGAATGACAATTATCACACTTGCTATTATTCTTTGCTTAAATCCAGCATTGTACAACAAAAATCCACCGCCAATTCTATTAGATGATAAAACTTGCAAATGTATCTTCCATCATCATAAACAACAACGTAATTAAATGAAACATGATAAAGTTACCAACGGAAGATTTGGAACTGAGTAAATTTATCTACTAAAGACGTAGCCATAATGAAGGTGTAGAGGAAGAAGAAGAATACGAATTCGAAGAGAGAGAAGATGTTCAAATTACAAAATCATTTCATTTTTAGATTTAGTCCTACTTCTTACTAGATGATTTGGTTAATAAAAATTATATATATGGTATTAATTGATTATATATTGCATAAAGGATTGTGTTTATGTGAATTACATAAAGTTGTTCAAGTTGCCATTGTTGTTTCCCTCATGGTACCTTTGAAGTTTTTTGGGTCTTAGATTTTCGATTATATCTAATTAGGAAAATACACATGAGATATCTTTTATTGATGAACCAACATACATATGATTTTATTTTATTTAATAAGGGGGAGGAAATTACAAAATACTAAGGAATAAAACAAGTTGTATTACACCCTAATCGGATACGTTGAAAACCAATTGTGGATGAGAAATCATATTCCAAGCTAGAGTTTCATCATGTAAACTTGATTCAGAATAGAAAGAGATTGAAATCCAAAACCACGTTCATCTTTAGTTTCATATGTTCAAAGACCAACACCTTTTAATTTAATTACCTTTTGTTTTAACGTGTTCAATTCATAACAGTTAATAACACTATAAGGTAGAGAAAAGTAAGTGTGCGGGTTGAATATCTACAAATCCAAAAGATAGAGAAAAAAACATTTATTTATTAACCTTAAAACTTTTCTGATATCCAGTAGCTATACTTTTCTCAGATACATTAGCTGAACCTACTCTATCAAACTTCATTGCTCTCTTATCCCCACCACATTGTGTCACCAAAACAGGAACCATTCCAATACAGAAATCTGTTGATGACAACATATCTCCAAATATCCCTAATATTTGAGCATTCTCTATGAAATTTCCCATTTCTTCATCTTTTAAAGATCCAATATTATGTCTCTTCCCAATCATCACAAGATCATAGTTTCCTTCCAAACCTCGAATTGCACTCATTACCTCTACTCCATCCTCCACCGCAACCTCGTACCAAGAAACGTTACCCATCCCAAATTTCATACTTTTAAACTCATCAATTAGACCTTCGTCCAACATTTCATCATGTTCTTGTTCACTTAGTGGAATTTCTCTACCTGATTGAGATTTAATATCGCATTCTTTTTTATTCATCACAATGAACCGAAACAAAGACACCTTCATATTCTCTCTATCCGACATTCGAATTCCTAAAGCCAATGCTTCTCTGTCATCAGCCCCACCAATAAAAAATACCCCTACATGGAAATAAGATCTTGTGTGATCATTCCTCACGCCAAGTCGCGAGTATCTATCGACCAATATCCCCAATGTGCAAGGCACGTGCGCTTGAAACCTAGTGTTGAGTTTTCGAATTGAAGTTGATATGTGTCCAGTGAGATCAATATGGTCATTTTCATGAAAAGGGACAATAATAAGAGCAGCCAATTTGTCTTGTGCTAAGTTGACAACAGCATCGTGCATACTCCTATAAGGTGCCACGTTCACATATGGTAAAACAATAACCGGACCAGAAGAGTTGTTAGAGTAATTCTCAAATGCTTGCATGATGTGGTTTGTGTCGGGGTAATTAACTGACAGTAATTTTTTGTTTCGTCTGTAATTAATTGGAAGCAAAATTGGTGCACTTTTTCCTAAAAGCTCGATGAGGTGAATCACATAGACACCTAACGGGCTTGCTGGAACTGGGTTGCAAATTTCTAACAGAGTAGTGATACCACGTACATTTCCTTCGTTGTGTAAACAACTAACAATGCGAAACTCTGAATTTCTAGAAGTGTTTTGGATTGTTCTCATCTGACCATCGTATATGTATGATGACTTTAGTGCTCGAGGACGATGCTTGTATAGTATTGTAATGATAGGTATGATGAATCCGGTCGTAACCAACACAGAAAGCACCAAGTGACTGAATGTTTCATCTTCCAATATCTGCAAAACATAAATGTAATTTCTTGTATAGAACTATAATGTCACAAACCACATAAGTCATTTTACCAGATGAATTAAACTATTACATACCTTGAGTTTCCTTAATTTAGTAAGAGAAATCAGGTGAGTGACGCCCTTAATGTTCAACATGAGTCCTAACACCGTGCCATGTTTAGGCTTAATGTTATATGTCATAGAAACCAACACGCAAGCAATAACCTTGGCTAAGTCTCCCGCAAATAATATAAGTTGCAAAGTTACAAACTCTTGCCAATTGTGAAGTGCGGTGATATTTGTGGTCATACCAACATCAGCAAAGAAAAAAGGTAACAGAAATTCTGAGATAATAAGTTCACATTTTTCAACCAATGTTGTCCCCAAAGGAGGTCCACTTGGTATAACCAAACCATAAATCAAGGGTCCAACAATAAACGTTACCCCGATTACATCAGTTATACCTGCCATAACTAAAGCACCAAGAAGAATATACACAACATAAACCCGCTTCACTGGTTTCCCAGTCGGTGTGTTGCGTGCAATCATCTTCATAATCGGTCTTAAAACGAAGAAACTAAAAAGAATGAACAATACCCAACTCATCGTACCTAAAACTAAATACTTCACTTTCCCCGTCTCCATGAGATGATGCGACACTATGATACAAAACTGTATGCAATCATTAAATGTCGCGGAAGACAAAGCAATCTGTCCTAATTCAGTTGCTATGAGGTTCAACTCTATCAAAGCTTCCGACACAACAGGAAAATTACTAAACGCCATTGTAGAACTTATCGCTAAACGCGTCGTATCTAATTTAAGATGAGGAAAATTCTGTGGTAAATAGAAAACATTTATCAACGTCGATATCACTGTAAAAGAAGCAACGAAAGGTATTATTCCGAGTAGCCATGTCCTCTTTGCCGCTCTTACAGTCATTAGCATATCCATCTTCAGTGCAATAAAGAACAGAAAGTATATTACTCCAATTATCGACGTCACTACTAAAACACCCGCTTGTCTTGCTGGAAATACCGCTTTCCAGTAAATTTTATTCTGCCCTAGAAATGATGGTCCCAACAGAATTCCACTCTGCACACATTTTTCATTAAAATTTCAATCTAACAAACTATATAAAAGTTAGTTACATCAATCTAACTAACTATATAAAAGTTAGTTATATCAATCTAACTATATAATAGTTAGTTAGCTATAAAAACGCAAACATCATACATGCCACATACACACGTCACATGAATATAATTTAATTTTAAAGGCTTTGATGAAATGGACGGTTGGATGAGGAAGAGTTTGTTAGAGCTTACGAGAACGCTGCAGATGAATTTGGGTGTTTGTAACGGGCGGAGAAGAAAGTAAAGCGTTTGAGAGATTGTGATGATGACAATGAGTTGGAACAATGTTGCAGGAAGAGCGAAATCGAATGGATTATCTCCCAGGAAAATGCCGTAAGAGCCAACGTTTCTATCATTTCTTACGCAAACTTCTAACAATCCATGGGAATCGAAAGAAACTGACACGGTTCCGTTGCCTCTTGAAGTTTCCATTAATTGATTATCAAGGGAGTGTTTGGATTTGGGATAAAGAATGAATTATGGTTCACTCCTGTGTTTGTCCCAACACAAACACAGGGGAATGGATAATTAAGCCCTAACAGAAAGGGAAAATGGAGATTGGGAATCAATAAATACTTTTAAAAAAAAATTAAAGAAGAAATAATTGTTAGTTTGATTTTCTTTGAATAAATTGATTCAAACCTAAATTTAGAAAATTGCTATTTTACTAAAATATGTATAACGGCTTTGTATGAATACAATAATATTGAGAAATCCTACTTAAAAGTAGCATACACTAAAATTAATCTCTTACGAAGTTAAAAGTAATGAACTGCTTAAGGATGCCAAATAATTAAAAGTCAAAACACGTTAAATTTGGCATTATGTTTAATTTATATTATTCACCTAAACCAATTTCAACACACGTCAAAGTAACGGTTGTTTTAACAAATAAATTTTGTTTTAAAATAACTATCATTTTTATTTTTTAATGTAATAATGATTACTATTTTTTTAATTGTGTTCTTTATTTTTTACTCTCTATACTATTTTCAATATATTAATAGGGATATTTTATAAAAATATAATATTTTATGACAACATCATTGCATTCTTTAATTTGTGTATAAAAAAGAACAATCATTTTAAAATAGAGTGAGTAGTATGAATATATGTATTATATAAAGAATAAACTTGCATGATATATTTTCTTGCTCATTCGCAAGACTCGCGATCAAGGTACAATAACAAGTGTGGAAAAGGAAGGAGCACGAAATAGGTGAATATTCATTCATGTCAAGGACATATGATTACATTCTCCTGAGGAAGGAAAATCACACACTAATGGTTTTAATCAATTTGAGTTCTTCTTTCATGACTACCAACCAATTTGAATCATTCATGGCTTGATCTAAATCAATTGGTTCAGATTCAGCCATCATCATCACTTCTACTACGAGGTCACTATCTTCATCAATTGCTTAATCTAAAAATCTCTCATATTCAGCTAGCCTTGTCGACTCAGTTCTTATTCTTGTCGATCTTCTAATATTCTACTTGAGTGGTTCTTTATTTTGAATGGTTATGACTTCATTTTGCTGATCTACTTCGAAAGCTGCCTCCTTGTGCAGGAGTTTGAAAAAAGGCAGGGCGTGTTGAGCGGATTTCGCGATGAAATGGGAGAGCGAGGCGAGCATACCATTCAGGACTTGTATGGATTTTTTTGAAGTAGCTGTAGGGAGGTCAGAGAACGCCCGACACTTGTTGGGGTTGGCTTCGATTTCTCGTTCTGTTAGGTAAAAACTGAGGAACTTACCCGCCTTAACCCCGAAGGTGCATTTCCCGGGGTTGAACCTCATTCTACACTGCCTCGCTTGGGCGAAGACTTTTCTGAGATGAGCAGCATGGTCAATATCTACTTGAGATTTGACGATCATGTCATCCATGTATACCTCGAGCATATCTCCGATCTCGTTGCGGAAGACTTTGTTCATCATTCGCGGGTATGTTGATCCTGTATTTTTCAGACTGAAGGGAATTATGTTGTAGTAATAATTGCCCGAGCTGGTCATGAAGGCAGTGCAATGTTTGTAGCCGAATAAGCATCCATGAAAGATAAAATTTTATAGCCGATCGAGTTGTTGACCAACATATCAATATTAGACAAAGAAAATGCATCTTTGGGGCATGCCCGGTTAAGATCGGTATATTCAACACACATACGCTATTCTCCATTATTATTTTTAACGAGTATAACGTTTGACAACCAGGTTGAATATCGGGCTTCGGAAATAAAATTTGCCTATAGGAGTTCTTTTACAGCTTTTTCAGCAGCCTCCGTTTTCTCGGGGGACTGCCCACACCTATGTTGTACTACTGCCCTAGCGGCTGGATCAATGGCGAGTTGATGATAGGCGACCTCGAGGTCGAGGCAGGCATCTCCACAATGCTTCATGCAAACAAATATGCATTCTCTCTAAAGCAGGCCTTGATATGCTTCCTCGCCAGGTCGGGGAGTCCAGTTCCGATCTTTACCCCTTTGTTTGGGTCTTCACCGAGAGGGACGAGCTCGAAGTCCCCATCTGGAATTGGTCGGAGGAGCCCTTGCTCTCCGTTGGGTGATTCATCTTGGTCGAAGCGGGTGTCCAACGAGATTGAGTCGACCTTTGGAGGAGCCTTCTGCGCTTCTGCCTTGATGGGTTGTGGCTCTAACTGTTGTGGCTCTGGTCGCGCTGTTGTAGTTCTCTTGGCGGGCCATTCCCCAGTGTCGATTGTGCTTTGTCCTTCGCCGCCGTATTGAAGCATCTTTGGACAGCTGCTAGGTCGCCCTGGATGGTGGAAATGCGATCCCTTTTTGTGTAGAACTTCATCTTCAGATGGACGGTGGATGGCATCGCGGTCAGCTCTTCTAGTGTCGGTCTACCAGGGATGTAGTTGTGGAGGGATGGGAAGTCGATGACCAGGAAGTGCACCTTGACCTACCTGGTAGTAGTATCTTCACCGAAGGTTACCATGAGCTCTAAGTATCCCCATAGCTTGGATGTCGAGCCATTGAAGCCCTGTAGGTCAGACCCCACGTATGGTGAAAGGTGAGAGTCGTCGAGCTACATGGTTCTGAAAAGCTAGTTGTACATCACATTGACGGAACTTCCCTCGTTGACCAGGACGTGATGAACATCAAAGTTAGCCATTCTCGCCCTGATCAGAAGGGGGATGGCTGAATTGGGGGGCCCTCCAGGAAATTCCTCGAGGTAAAAGGTGATTGGCTCCGACCTTCCCTTAACCCTCTCGAAGGTCACCGTTTGGGGGGGGGGGGGGGGGGGCGTCGACCAGCTCGTCCAACTTCCTCTTCGCTGAATTTATGGTTATGTCATTAAACCCTCCACCATTTATGACCATGGCAGAGGGGAAGCTTTCCCACCTGTTGTGCATGGACAGAGGCTCTTCCATACGTTCGGGAACGTAGAAGTCACCCGGTCTCGTAACAGAGAATGAAGTTTGGATGGGAACTGACTCGTCAGATGGTCAGGCATCCTCCTCTGTCTCCCTAGTTTCATGGGCATCTTGACAGGGGGGTGTCACCGCGTTGATATTTCCCGAGTCTTCCCCTTTTATGAGGGTCTGAATAGCATCCTTGAGATATACACAATCTTCAGTTAAGTGTCCATGGCTGCGATGATATTGGCAGTATTTGCTCCAATCTGCCCCGGACTTAGCAGGAGCGGGGCGATGACGCTTGATGCTGGCATCCTTGAAATCCGTGTTCGCACACTCCACCAAAATGCGCTCGCGGGAAGGCGTTAGTGGAGTGTACTCAGTAAACCTCCCTGAGGGTCCTCTTTTCTCACGGGGGTCTTGGAGTTTGTCATCCCTCCTCTTCTCGCCCGTTCGTCGAGGAGGGTCGGAGTATTGTCGTGGATTACTGGTTGATCCATGATTCCTGGGGTCCCAGACTCTATTGGCCGCTTCCCTCTCCTTGCAGTCCATGTATGCTCTGGATTTTTCGAGGAGGGCATCAAATGTTCGGGGCGGTTCGATGCCAACAACCTTTCTGAATTCTGTTCCCGGGAGGAGTCCCCTCTCGAGCAGGTATGTCTTTATGTGATGGGTGCAGGGGACCTGGATGGCTTCCCGGTTGAACCTATCAATAAATTCCCTCAGGGTCTCGTCGTGTCTTTGGACGATAGCCTCGAGGGCTGCTTCAGTCTTTGGGTGGTGACGTGAAGTAGTGAACAAACTGATGAATTGATTCTTTAGATTTCGCCAGGAGGTGATTGACCCCGGGGTGAGACTCTTGTACCAATCCATCGCAGTTTTCCTCAAACTCGTGGGGAACAATCGACATTTAATTGGTCCCTCGACATTATGATAATGGAGCATTACCTTGAACCCGTCCATATGGTCGACATGGTCGACAATGTCGTCGTACTCCTTCAGATGGGGAGGCTTCTCCTTGCCCGGGGGGATGTGTGCTTCCATGATGGTTTGCGACAAGGGACCGCGTGGGTCATCTTTGTCACTTCTATCAGGCGAGCGAGAAGAAGATCTGTTGTAGTGGTGGTTAGGGCGGCCCTGGTCGCGCGGAGCGTTCCTCGGGCAGTACTGTCGTTTGTTATTTCCCTTGTTTCTGTGTCCAGGGGGTCTTTGTTCTTGACACGAGGGGATGTGATTGCGTCTTCCCGTGTCAATGGGTTGGTCCCTCTCTAATGCGGGGCGCCGCCCGATAGGTCGGGGAGAGGGACTTCGAGAGGCGTCCCGCCTATATCTCTGCGGGGGAGATTGAGGGCGTTCCTCTGCTTGGCGAGGAGGAGGAGAACAGGGCCTTCTATGTCTTCTGGAGGCTCTTTGAGCATCTTCGAGCGCCCTTAGTCTCTCACCTTGAGAGAATATCAGATAATTTGTTTGGTTTATCACCGCGAACAATGCCCTGGTCGTGGCATCTGCCCGAACGGGAACAGGGACCTCCAGGAACTGGTTGGGTTGGTAGTTCTAAAGAGGTGGCCAGTCGTCTTCAAGTCGTCGAGATAGAGATGATGACGAGGCATTTGCTCTAAAGCTAACCATGTTCATATTTTCCATTTATATTGACTGTGCATAGAGAATTTTGGATTTGAAATTTCTGAGAAAATTAGGTTTCAATTTAGGGTCAGCAAAATTAGTTTTTATCTTCGACATTTAGCTTACATAAGTTATATGGTTGAATTCGTGGGAAGAGACACCACAACTTTCATGTTTGAACTTTCCATTTTTATGGAGAGATGAGAAAGATACAGGTGGTCCGGCTAGGCTCAAGGTTGAAGACGAAGTTGCCTTCAGAAAGCAATTTCTAATATATATTTATGCTTTGATTATATGACTGGATGAAACAGCCACCCCAGTGGCAAGCGTGCGCGTACTAAGTCATGTGTTACCTAAAGGGCAAGGGTTCGAACCAATGTGAACCCCCCTTTTGCTTTTTTTTTTTCATTTTTCTGATTTTCTAACACTTTTTTTTTGCAGGCGCTGGGCCCTTTGGGCCTGGTATTTTTTTGTTTTTGCTAGCATACTCCCCTGTTTACTTGTGACACCCCTTGGTCCATTTTATTTTTATTTATTTATTCATTTCTTTTTTCTTTCAAATATATTTTCTAAAAATACAAAAAAAAATCATATGAAGTATAAAAATAATAGATTTATATTTTGACACAATTTAAATATTTTTTCCCATAAAAAAATATTTTTATTCATTATACTTTATTTACTTTTATTAATTTCCTTGTAAATTAAAAAATAAAACTAGATTATTATTTATCTAAATATATTTATTTTAATATAAAAAAGATCAAAAATATTTCATAACACCACGTACTATTTTCAAGACAAAAATATAAAAATATTTTTTCTTTAAACTAATTTTCCTTTAATCAACTAAAATAGATTTAGGGTTTTATTCAAAAAAATCTTTTCTTAATTTAAATATTTTCTTAATTAATTTCTTTTCTTAACTAACTTAAGTTAATTTAATTTAATTACTTTTTTCTCTAATTAGGTTTAGGTTAAAACCTCCTTCATACAAAAATCAAAAATACAAAAAAAAATCATTTCTTTCAATTTACATTTGTACTTTATATATTTCTTCAATTATTTGTACAATATTCAATTTGGTTGTAATAGATTAATTAGGTTTATATTATTGCAATCCCCATTCATAAATTGTATACCCCCTCCCACAAATATTGTAATACCGTAGTAACTTTAAATTTCTCAATTTATCACTTTTACATAACATGCAAGTAATTAGGGTTTGTATGGAAAGATAAAATCAATCAAATAGAAAATCCTAATCCAAGACAAAAACAAGCATGAAAATAACACACTTGCACACAAGCACCCTTGCGGTAAAATTCACTTGGTTGCCTTACAAAATGGCCATATTATGCATGTAAGGTATCTTAGCAAAAAACAAATAAATACAAGATCATAGTCCCTCGATAACGCTATCCAAGGTTACCTTACAAAATGATCTTAGTCCCTCAAAAAGAATTCTAATATGCCTTTCAAACATTGCTAATCATGATTACACGATGACCCGCGCCCGTCCCGTTAACATCCAAAGATAGGGTTGCTTACCAAATCAATGGTAAGACAACAATGTCAAAGGAAAAGAAAATGAACAAGAAAGACTTTTGAGTAGGTAGAATGCTCCTAATTACTTGCTCCATTTCAAAACAAAAATCCTTTCTATTTTCAAAACAATCACATACACTTTCAAATCTTGAAAACATTTTCAAAAGATCAACACCTTTGTATACATTCTTACGAACGGGAATCATTACAAAGATTGCCTAAACAAATTCCTCTTTACAAAATACTTTCAAAAAAACCACACCAAGCACAATTTCAAACAAAAGCAAGTGATCTAGCAAGTAACTAAGAGCCCATGGAAAACCATGGATGAAAAGGGTGCTAATACCTTCCCTTTTCATAATCAACCCCTCGAACTCAAGAAACAATCTCAAAAGTCTTTTCTGTGCTTTTTCACCTTTCCTTTTGGATAAAAGAAAAGTCGGTGGCGACTCTTGCTAACCGCAACATTTGTGATCAAACACAAAACCTTCAAGTCAGTTCTCCCACCGCATCACAGGAAGCTTTCCCACCTACTGTGCATGGACAGAGGCTTTTCCGTATGTTCGAGAAAGTAGAAGTCATTCGGTCTCGTAACAGAGAATGCAGTTTGGATGGGAACTGACTCGTCAGATGGTCAGGCATCCTCCTCTGTCTCCCTAGTTTCGCGGGCATCTTGACTGGGGGTGTCACCGTGTTGATATTTCCCGAGTCTTCCCCCTTTTATGAGGGTCTCAATAACATCCTTGAGATGTACATAATCTTCAGTTAAATGTCCATGGCTGCGATGATATTGGCAGTATTTGCTCCAATCTGCCACAGACTTAGCAGGAGCGGGGTGATGATGCTTGACGCTGGAGTCCTTGAAATCCGTGTTCGCACACTCCACCAAAATGCGCTCGCAGAAAGCCGTTAGCGGAGTGTACTCAGTAAACCTCCCTGAGGGTCCTCTTTTCTCACGGGGGTATTGGAGTTTGTCATCCCTCCTCTTCTCACCCGTTCATCGAGGAGGGCCGGAGTCTTGTCATGGATTACTGGTTGATCCATGATTCCTGGGGTCCCGGGCTCTATTGGCCGCTTCCCTCTCCTTGTAGTCCATGTATGCTCTAGATTTTTCGAGGAGAGCATCGAATGTTCGGGGCGATTCGATGCTAACGGCCTTTCTGAATTCTGTGCCCGGGAGGAGTCCCCTCTCGAGAAGGTATATCTTCATGTGATCGGTGCAGGAGACCTGGATGGCTTCCCGGTTGGACCTATCAATAAATTCTCTCAGGGTCTCGTCGTGTCTCTGGACGATAGCCTCGAGGGCTGCTTCAGTCTTTGGGTGGTGACGTGAAGCATCAGACAAACTGATGAATTAATTCTTTAGATTTTGCTAGGAGGTGATTGACCCTAGGGTGAGACTCTTGTACCAGTCCATCGCGGTTTTCCTCAAAGTCATGGGGAACAATCGACATTTAATTGGTCCCTCGACATTATGATAATGGAGCATTGCCTCGAACCCGTCTATATGGTCGACCTGGTCGACAATGCCGTCGTACTCCTTCAGATGGGGAGGCTTCTCCTTGCCCGGGGGGAAATGTGCTTACATGATGGCTTGCGACAAGGGACCGCATGGGTCGTCTTCGTCACTTCTATCAGGCGAGCAAGAAGAAGATCTGTTGTAGTGGTGGTTAGGGCGGCCCTGGTCGCGCGGAGCGTTCCTCGGGAGGTACTGCCATTCGTTATTTCCCTTGTTTCTATCTCCAGGGGGTCTTTGTTCTTGACGCGAGGGGATGTGATTGCGTCTTCCCGTGTCAATGGGTTGGTCCCTCTCCAATGCGGGGCGCCGATCGATAGGTCGGGGAGAGGGAATTCGAGAGGCGTCCCGCCTACGTCTCCGCGGGGGAGATTAGGGGCGTTCCTATGCTTGGCGAGGAGGAGGTGAACGGGGTCTTCTATATCTTCTGGGGGCTCTCCGAGCATCTTCGAGCGCCCTCAGTCTCTCACCTTGAGAGAATATTAGATAATTTATTTGGTTTATCGCCGTGAACAGTGCCCTGGTCGTGGCATCTGCCCCAACAGGAATAGGGACCTCCAGGAACTGGTTGGGTTGGTAGCTCTAAAGAGGTGGCCGATCGTCTTCAAGTCGTCGAGATAGAGATGATGACGAGGCAATTGCTCCGTCTCTATATTCTAAAGGCCCGGGCATATTGACGGTGGGGGGCGTGTTGTGGCCAGCAGTACCAGCGTTGTCGATACCGACATTGTTATCGGCGACGTTGTTGTTGACGTCGGGGATGCGTACGTTCATGTTATTTTCTGCTGTTTGATCAGCCATGACAAACGGAAGAGTGATTTAGCTTTAGTCTTGAGTAAATGGAAGACGGGGAAGCAAGTTCCCACAGACGGCGCCACTGATCGTACCTGACCAGAATGGACCGTCATAGCTAGCTCGAGCAGAAGTTGAGTGAGATGGGAGAGGGGTACTTGCAAGACACTCTGATGCCAAAGTAAGTTGTGGAATGAACAAGCAAGCGTGAGAGTTAGAAAGTGTTGAATACCTGACTCTCTCAGAAGAGAGGGTATTTATAGCCCCTAACGTTGGGTCAAGGTCCCCATTGTTGGGCCACGTTGAGGCCCAATAATGCAAACTGTCAGGGCTTACGTGTGTATGGAGTCCAGTAAATGGACTCCCCCTGGTCAACTGCTCCGTCAAAATAAGGGTTGGACCCGTGATTTCCGGAGGGCAGTTAAGATGACTGACATGAAGACGTGGGCCACGTTCCCCAACAGATATGTGGGGAGTTGCCCAACGGTCCCCAACTTGAGTTGTTTGTTCTTTGAGCCTTATGCAAAGATGTTGGTTTGAGCCTCCTATGCGAGTGACAAGTGTAGGCCTAATCCAGATCAATTTACTTTCTTTGACAAAATTATTGTAATACAATTTATCTTTTTGAATTCCAAACAATTTAAATTTCTAAACTTACTTTTAACAACAATTTTTCTTTTGAAGGCAATTTATAATTTTGTTTGTAAATTGTAATTTACTTTTCAAAATAATTTATATCTCTTATTCTTTAAATTTATCTCAATTCATTTTCATGTATGTTACTTTATACAATTTATATTTGTCAACACATTTGTAGTTTTTCACTCTAAAGTTAATTTGAATGCAAAGAGTATCAGTATTACTTTCAATGATTTGTGTTTTCGAAAACAATCTTGCATTATTAATTTCCGTATAAAACATTTCTAAACTTTATTTGCTTTCTATCACACATGACATGACATGACATTATCTCTTGTCGTTGAGGTATTGAGATATTTTTCTTGTAAAATTGGGTGAGTTAAATATATACAAATCTAAAAGATATAGAGAAAAACATTTATTTATTAAACAGTAAACTCATTTGAGAGGCAGTAGCCGAACCTAGTCTATCAAGCTTGTTACTTACCCTTTTATCCCCACCACATTGTGTCACCAAAACAGGAACCATCCCAATACAGAACTCTGTTGATGACAACATATCTCCAAATATCCCTAATATTTGAGCATTCTCTATGAAGTTACCCATTTCTTCATCTTTCAAAGATCCAATATTATGTCTCCTCCCAACCATCACAAGATCATAGTCTCCTTCCAAACCACGAATTGATCTCATTATCCCTACTCCATCCTCCGCCACAACCTCGTACCAACAAACATTCCCTGACCCAAATTTCATACTCTTAAACTCATCGATTAAACTTTCATCCAACGTTTCATCTTGTTCTTCCTCATCTATTTCTACACCCGATTGAGATTGAGTACTTTCATATTCTTGTCTATTCAACATAACAAACCGAAACAAAGACACCTTCATGTTTTCCCTTTCCGACATTCGAATCCCCAAAGACAATGCTTCTCTGTCATCTGCTCCACCAATGAAAAACACTCCCACGTGAAAATAAGATTTTCCACTGTCGTTACTCTCTCCAAGCCGTGAGTATCTATCCACCAATATCCCCAACGTGCATGGCACACGTGCTTGAAACATGGTATTTAGTCTTCGGATCGCGGTTGCCACGTGTCCGTTGAGGTCAATATGGTCATTTTCGTGAAAAGGGACTACTATAAAAGGAACCATTTTGTCTTGTGCTAAGTTGATAACAGCGTCATGCATGCTTTTATAAGGTGCAACGTTGACATATGGTAGAACAATAACCGGACCATAAGAGTTGCTAGCATAATTCTCAAATGCTCGCATGATGTGGTTTGTGTCAGGGTAATTCACTGACAGAAATTTCTTATTCTGTTTGTGATTAATCGGAAGCAGAATTGGCGCGCTTTTTCCTAAAAGCTGGACGAGGTGAATCACGTATACAGCTATCGGGCTTTGCGGAACTGGGTTGCAGACTTCTAATAGAGCAGTGATACCGCGTACGTGTCCTTCGTTATGTACACAAGTAACAATGCGAAACTCTAAATTTCTAGAAGTGTTCTGGATTGTTGTCATTTGTTGGTCCAAATTGGTTGACGAATTTAGTACTCGATGACGATGCTTGTATAGTTTATTAATCAAAGGTGAGACGACTGCGGTTGTAACCACCACACAAATCACCAAGTGACTGTATGTATCGTCATCCATCAACTGCAAACATAAAATTCAACAGAGTTCAATGTCATGGAGCATATGATATGAGTATTTTTCCTAGATTGATTAAACTATTACGTACCTTGAGATTCTTCAATTTAGTAATAGCTATAAGGTGGGTTATGCCCTTGATGTTCATCATGAGACCAAGCACCGTGCCTTGTCTGGGCTTAATGTTATATAACATAGAAACCAACACACAAGCAACTACCTTGGCCATGTCGCCCGCAAGTAAGATAAACTGCAAAGTAAAAAACTCTTTCCAACGTTTAAGTAAAGACAGGTCTGTAGTCATGCCAACATAAGCAAAGAAGAAAGGTAACAGAAAATCTGAGATAATAACTTCACATTTTTCAACCAATATTGTTCCCAAAGGAGGTCCACTCGGTATCATCAGACCCAACATCAATGGTCCAATCATGAACGTTACCCCAATAGTGTCAGTTATACCTGACATGATTAAAACACCAAGAAGAATAAACACAACATAAATTTGTTTCACTTGTTTCCCATACGGTGTGTTGCGTGCAATCATCTTCATCGTTGGCTTTAAAACAAAGAAGCAAAACAACGCGAACAATATGCAACTAGCCACAGCCAACGCTTGGAATTTTGGTTTCTCAGTGGTTGAGATATGGTGTCCTATTATGACAGTAAACTGTATGCAGTCGTTGAAAGAGGATGAAGACAGAGCAAGCTGCCCTAATTCAGTTGCTATGAGGTTAAGTTCTGATAAAGCTTCAGTTATGACAGGGAAATTACTGAATGACATTGTAACACTTAATGATGGATGTGGTGGGTTTAATTTCGGGAAATTTCGCGGTGAATAGAAAAGATGTAAAAGTGTTGACATAACCACAGCAGAAGCCGCAAAAGGTATTATCCCGAGTAGCCAAGTACTTTTTGCGGCTCTTACTGTCATTAGCATATCCATTTTCAGTGCAACGAAGAACAAAAAGTATATAGGTCCAACTATTGACATCACTAATAAAACATCAGATTGTCTTGCAGGAAATAATGATTTCCAGTAAATTTCACATCTCCCTAAAAATGATGGCCCCAAAAGAATTCCACCCTGCAAACAAATTTTCACAACAAACATAAATTTAACGATACAAAAGTTAGCTCCTTAGTTAACCTAACTTGTTGGTTCTACCGATTAGTTGTTCTCATGTAATTCTTCAATCATAATTCAATATAAATTTTCTATTATCAAAGAAAGAATAGTAGTAACTATATATAAGTTAACACATGATTAATTATGCTATAAATATATGAGTCTATAATTAGGGAAAGATAGAAACTAGAAAGGAGAAAATGGAAAAGGAAAAGCATTGATGAAATGGATGGATGAGAATGAGTTTGTTAGAGCTTACGAGAACGCTGCAGATGAATTTGGGTGTTTGCAATGGCCTGAGAACAAAGTGAAGAGATTGACAAAGTGTGATAATAACAATGATTTGGAACAATGTTGCAGGAAGAGCAAAATCAAATGGATTATCTCCAACAAAAACGCCATAAGAGCCAACGTTTCTATCATTTTTCACACAAATTTCAACCTTTCCGTGGGAATCATAAGAAATTGAGACGGTTCCATTGCCTCTTGAAGTTTCCTCCATTATATAAAATCAAAACCAATTAATGTTGAATAACTAATGTGGTTAATTCACTTGTCTTCCGTGTTTGTGTTTGCATTCGTGTTCGCAGCAAACACGAATACAAACACGAATACAAACACGGGAACAAAAAATTAAACCCCCAGTAGAAAGGGAAAAAAATGGAGGGGACAGAGGATTTATTATATAAAAAAATAAAAAGGAGAAGGTTGAGAATCAATCAATACACACAGGGATACAAAGCTATAATAGACACGCTTTTGATATTTTTGTCAAAAACATGAGTTGTTGTATATGTTTATATTACAAGGTGGACACTAATATTCCAAGAATGGAGTTTTTATCCAATGTAACTACTTTATTTGTCCAAATTACAAATTTGTTTAAAATAATTTTAAAGAAATAATAACTGTTAGCTGATGTTTTCTTTTCTTTCTGTTATTGTTGAATAAAATGATTCAACCTAAATTTAGAAATTTGCTACTTTAGAAAAATATATTCAAAAGCTTTGCATGATTATATTTAAGAGTGAGGCTCCCAAAATATAAGATACAAATAATGATTTTACCAAACAAACGAAGGATTACTGTGACAATGGTATTACAGAATATTGCTTGTCAATAAAATTATGACCAATAGTGTTTAAACACATTTAACTATATCATGATTGCATTGCACCATGCACACACAAGAACTTCATCTTAATTGTATTATATGCATATCCCACAGGAAAAACAACTTACAAAACAATTAAACATATGCTAGTACACACAACAAAAATATTAGAACCCTGCTTATAGATAATGCCACTGATCAAAAGTTAATCTTAGAAATCCATTACTCGCGCAACTTCAACGATTAGCAAATAAATGAAAGTCAATCACATGTTTTTCATGAAAAAGCTCTTTCTAATCATGACAAAAATAAAAACAAATAATAAAAACAAATAGAAAAACCACTTAGGAGGATAAGACTTGGTTGTTGTTATTGTTCTCAATAACAAAACCATTTCAAGGTGTATCTAATGTATTACAGACTAAAAATAAAACTGATTATATTAAAACAAAGAGGAATACAATATGTGGGACAAAGAGGAACACAATATGTGAAAACTCTAAACATGTAGGTCCAATTGTACATGACTGGGATGCAAGGGCAGTAATGTCCAGTGGTATGGTTCAAGGGTATTATTGTAACTGCATCATAGTATTCTATATACACTAGTGCAGAAATGACTTTTTACATCGGGTAAAATTGACTTTTTACATCGGTTTTGGATCCGATGTAAAGTCAGGTGATATAGTAAATCAGGGACTTTTTACATCGGTTCTGGGACCGATGTAAAAAGTCCCTTTGTTACATCGGTTCTGGGACCGATGTAAAAAGTCCCTTTTTTACATCGGTTATAATATCAGAACCGATGTAATAACCTGTTATTATGCACATTTTTAAAAAAATTGATCCAGTTTTTTACATTGGTTGGAAGTAATACCCGATGTAAAAAGTACCTTTTTTACATCGGTTATAATATATGAACCGATGTAAAAAACAATTATTATGCACATTTTTTTAAAAAATTGATCCAGTTTTTTACATCGGTTGGAAGTAATACCCGATGTAAAAAGTCCCCAGTGACGCGACTTTTTGCATCGGGTATTACTTCCAACCGATGTAAAAAGTCCCTTTTTGAAAGTTTTTACATCAGTTTTACTAATAACCGATGTAAAATGTATGAAATTTTTTTGGAATAGATTATTTATTTTCTGGGTTTCCCTATACAAATATAATTTGTACCCATTTTTTCATATTTTTCCAATATCAAACAGACTATATTTATGTCGCTATATAGATTTCATAGCTTTCCAACATCACATATATCACATTTAGGACGATGTTTTCATATTTTTCACAACAAACTTACAAATTGAACAATTGTATTGCAAACTTGTATTGTATTACAACATACAAACTTACAATTACAAATTCTTAACAAAATATAAAACAATATTCAACTATTTATAAGTCTTTTTCAAAACTTACAATTACATAATATTCACAAAATATACATATACTAAAATATTCAACTATTTCTAAGTTTCCAAACTTGAATTACCAATATAAAATCTTCGGTAGACAACACCAAAATCATATTGCCTGACAATAAATAATAACAATTAACATCAGCAAAAAAATCAAGAAACTCAACACATGAGCAAAAACCACATGTATTGTGCAAAAACCACAACTTATACAATTCTATAAAACTCACCAAGCTAAACTTAAGTTCCATGTAAGTCAAAGAAACATTTTGCCCAACGAAGTCGCAAATCATACAAATCATCTGGTGTTAATTCTGTTGGGTCATCAAATACCTATAATACATAAATATAACAATATAGAGTTATTTTTTAAAAATTCATATTAAGTCGAAAAACAAAAAGTAAAGAACAAAGTAAAGTTATTTTTAGTACCTGCATCCAATTCTCGGTTATATTAGCAGAGACAATATCCAACATATTTTTCATCACATAATATCCACAATCATTAGAGTTATGTTGTTGCCTTGTCTACAATTGAATGACATAATTAGTGAATATTTATCGTATATATTTAACTATAGAATTACAATTTACATCACACTTACATTGGGATGAAGCCATGTAGCCTTTTTTCTATTTCCATTTGCCATTTGATGAATCCCAAAAGAACTAATACAGAAAGATATAAACATCACATAACTAAATATACTCGCCAATGAAAAATCACATAACTATTAGTTGTCAATGAAAGTCACATGAAAGATAAACTTACTTTGTAATAATTTTCTTCGTGTTCTGGTCAATTTCCCGATGAAGTGAACAAAATACGACAACTAAATTGTCTCTTGGACACATGACTATTAATTGCCAATGTCTCATGTACGTGTGTGTGGAAACAGAAAAGTCGCATAAAATATATATGTTATCAAAATCAAAATTAAATAACATAAAACACAATTTCATAAAAATTCTTACCCATGAATTAATGGTAGTAAGTGGCACGCTCTGTTTTCATCACGTAACTTTTCTAGCACGTAATTTTTAACATCTTCTTGAGATTTCGCTCCATTATCATTATAAATACACCTAGCAGGGTCCATAAATCCATATAATTCTGAAACGGAATTCTCAAGACAAACACGATGAATATACCTGAATAGTTTTAAAATTAACATTAGAATCAAAGTGATGAGAGATATAACATATTAATAGAGATTGACTTTAATAAAACAATAAAATTTACTTACGTGCACCAAATTTGAAGAATAGACACGTCAAGCCAATGACCTAAACCCACCAATAACTCTCTGATACATTTAGCTGAAACATAAAAATTAGAGACACTCGCACAATGACTTAATTGTATTGCCAAATGGTTATCATCCAATTTCAAAACCATGAGTAACAATCTCTGAACATCATTAACTTCCACGTCTTTTGTGCTCTCTTTTGTGCTTCCCTTTGCAGCTGAACAACTTCCTTTTCCGCTTCCATCAATAATTTCCAATTTTTGAATGCATTTAATATCACCTGTGCTTTGTGATAAACCCATAGACTTAAGTGTCTCCATTAATGATTGCTGAAACATCTTACGCTCTTCAACTAACTTTTCTTCAAGTTCAGCTCTAAGTTTTGTTTCCAATATTGCAAGTTGTTCATTTACGTCGATATGTTGACTTTTTCTTCCAAAGTAAGTGCTTTGTTTATGGTGTTTTCCAACACCACGGACACGACCTCCATGCTCAGATGTTCCAATGGCTAATGATAAGATATCGTTACGTCCATCTGGAACAATTGCACCTTTTTCAGCTTCTTGAACAAGAGAATCCTACAAAATGCAAAAACATCAATTAATCAATCACAAATATAATTATACTTTGTAATAATTTTTCGTTGTTTACTTACAATTTTTTGGGCAACCTCTTGTGTAGATTTTGATGTGTATTCTCCTCCTTTCTTTTGTCGTGCTCTCTTCCATAACTCATGGCGTGATGGTGGAGATTGACTATCATTATCATCTAATGTGGAATTATCTCTCGATGATGACTTTTCTTTCATAATTTTCTCCTCAAGTAAGCGATACCCTCCACGAGACAATACATGTGGGTATAAATTCTTGGCCACATTATCCTTACCCTTCTGACTTTTTTCCTATTATAAACTCAAACAAATAATTAATCACTAAATATAATAAAAATGTTATGCACACAAAAATATATAACTCCTACTAACCTTAAATTCAGGGGTATCTCGAATCTTGAGAAACTCTTTCCAGACGTCTTCTGTAATAAAGTTATACTTGACATATGGAGGAGGATCATTTTCTATGGGATGATGAATATATCTATCTATGAGTTGTGTCTTAAAACCTCTCCATCGCTCTCCCGCATATTTAATCCATTCTTTCTTCAACCTATCATTCTTTGGATCTTTACATTCTGGAATAGTAAAATGAGCCTACAAATGTAGTATATGTCATATGTTGTTAATTAGTATATGATTATAAAATATAATAAAGTATTGTATTTAAAATACCTGAATATCAGTCCAAATAGCATCTTTTACGCCTTCATCTACTTCTTTCCAATCATTTTTCACAATGCTACAATACTGTCGAGCAAGAGATGCTATATAACTCTTGAAATTTGTAGCATTTTTACCAACACCAATACATTCATAGGTTCTTGCATTAAACTCGACCTTTATCTTTTCACCTGTTTGATGAACTTTGTCAATTTGTGTCATTAAAGTGGGACCTCTAACTCTTCTTTTATTGGGGTTTGAATCACCCATGTACCTGTTTACACAAAACAAAAATAATTAGAAATAATATTAAGCACAAAATAAAAACAATTAGAAATAAAATTAAGCACAAAATAAAAACAATTAGAAAATAAAGTAACGTGGAATTAACTTATACAAAAAATCTTACTAGTCCTCCCATATCCCTTCTTCATGGTCCAT